CTAACTGGCCATCCCTATATGGGATCCGAACCCATAGCCTTGGTGTTATCAGCACCACACTCTCCCGAGTGAGCCACAGGCCGGCCCAAACAGTCCTTAATTTTAACATAGTCAATTTTATCAATCTTTCTCTATATTTTAGTGCTTTTTAACTCCTAAGTATTCCCCTCCACTATGGTCATGAAGATTTTCTCTTATTATCTTACAGGAGCTTTATTATTTTGAATTTCGTATTTAGATCTATAATCCATATAGAATTTTTTTGTTATGAGATGGGGGATCAACTTTCTTTTCCACCTTTTTCTATATGTATATCTAATGTCCCAGTATCCTTTCTTAAAAAGACTACCCTTAACCCACTGCTTTGCATTGCCACTTTTATGAATCAGTATATCTGTATTCCATTCCAGTCATTTATATGTCTATCCTGCACCTAACCCACAGTCTTAATTACTCTAGTTCATAATAAACCTTAAAATCTGGTTGTGTAATCCCTCAAAATTTGCTCTTTCTTTTTCTGAGATTGTCATGGCCATTCTAGATCCTTTGCATTTCCATACAAATTTTAGAATTAGCTTGTCAGTTTCCACAAAATACCTGGTGGAGATTTTTTATGCTGTGATGATGGACTGTCTCTCCCTGAAGTTCTATAAATTTTCACTTTATTCATTTATTTATTTATTTTGAAACTTTAAAAAATGCATACTGGTTTAGAATTGTTATATTTTCCTTGTGAATTGAACCTTCCATGATTTCATAGAAATCCCACCTGTTTCTAACAATGCTTTGTCTTAAAGTCTATTTTGTGAATATAAATATAAATGATCGCCACTTACTTTTGGTTAGTATTTGCCTGACCTTGCTTGCTCCATTCTTTTATTTTAAACATTTTTCTATCCTTATGCTTCAGGCAAGACTCAGAGAGACCTTCAGTAAAGTAACTTACAAAGGATATTATGTCAGGTGAGGGAAAGTGATCTTAGAAGCAAGGTCTGAGATGCCAGAAGGAATGGATGTTAAAAGTCTGATTTGTAAATCTCAATATTTTAACTGTATTAATTTTATTTATATTTATTATATTTTTATATATTTAGACTAGTATAGGACATATTGCTTTTTAATTCTATCTATTCTACTTTTCTGTGCTTTTTAAAGTTTTATTTTTTTGGTGTCTGGCCAGTAAGGGGATCTGAACCCTTGACCTCGGTGTTACCAGCACCATGCTCTCTCAAGTAAGCTAAACAGCCAGCCCTACTTTTCTATGCTTTTAAAAAAATTCTTATCTTGCCTTTTTTCTTGGGGGGAAGGAGATTGTTGATATTTTTGTTTATTTGCATTTTCTTATTCCAATGTTTTCCTCTTTATTAGTTTGGAATTTACACACTCTATATCTATTCTTAAGAGTAGTCCTTAAAATCTTACCATGTATATTGACTTTAATACAGCCTGTTTCTCTACTTTCTCAACTACTTCAATTTACTCCTCAACTTACCATACTGTGGCTTCCAGCCCTACCCCTTTGGTGAAACTGCTTTTGCAGAAGCTTCCAAGTACTGAATTCAATAGTCTTTTTATCCATTCTTATCTCACTGGATTTCCCTGCTGATTTGACATTTGTGATCATCCCTCCTTCTAGATATTCCAGTTCCTAGGGTTCTTTGACATTGCACTTTCTGGGAGTTTTTTTGTTTGTTTTGTTTTCCATAACTGACTATTCCTCCTCATCCCCCCCTCCACCTCCTCTCCATGATTCTTTCTTCCTTAACTCCTATTAAAAATGAATATTTCCCCAAGGTTCTGTCCCCAGCCCACTGCTCTTACTTTACAAATCCACCATATGTGATCCTATCCCAAATTAACTAACTCCCAAATTAATTTCTCCAGGCCAACCTCTTCCTTGAATTTTAAATCCAATCACTCTTAAATCCAATTTCCAGCTGGTCACCCAGACCTGGATATATCACAGGCAACACGTTTAGAACCAAACTCCTAATTATCCACTTCTCTTCCTCTCCTAGAGAGAAAAGCCAGTTTCTCTTCCTCCTGTAAATTTTTTCACATAACCTAGAAACATAGGAGATTTCTCTGACTCCTTCCTCTCCCTCCATCCCAGATCTCACCCATAACCTTCCAACTCTATCTATTAAAGTATTTTTTTGGTTGCTTTCCCCAAATAGTACTCTATGGTTATTAGATACTCCAGAAAAATGGATTCCATGGTAAGATAAGTATTGGTAAATGCTAGAAAATCATGAAAAAATTCTTTACCACAGGACTTTTCTGTTGCTTTGCCTCCCATGGATTTGTCACCCCTTTTCCCCTGGGTGATAGAGCTGCAAAAGATTACTCAAAGCCCATCTCTTCTGAGCAGTGAGAAACCCTGAAAAGGAGTTAATCTCCCGGAACCCTCCAGATAGAGGCATTCCTTCCATTTTGGAAATTAACCCCGAATTGGGGTTCTCTTCCCGCATTTATTCTCCAGACCAGGAAGTTACAGGAACAGAACCTAGGTGGGGTTTTTGCTAAGTACAGTTTAACAAGTTTAACAATAGAAGCTGGTAACATTCAGTAAAACAAGCAAGGTGACATTCCATAACACAATTTGCAAGAAGTTAAGTCGATCCACCAACAAACTTGATTTTAGCAAACATTCTCTCTTCTTACAGCAATTTCCCAGTATCTTTACATATCAATCAGTAACCTGTCTGTCTTTGAGCCAGCAACCTTGCTGTTCTACAATTCTTTATCTTACAGCAGAGACTAGCCTGGGGAAAATTTCCTGTCTTTTGCAAGGTCAACATTTTATATGTACTGTTAAGAAGCTAGGCCAAACCTGAAACTGCAAGGTCCTGGAAAACCAGGCCCTGTGAAATACATTTGCTTTATGTGTACTTCAGTTTTCAGAGCCATTACTATGTGGATATTATATTCTAGATGTAAGAGGTGATATATCATGCAGTCTTTCACAAGCTTATTTTAGCATTTCAGTGGGACACCTTTTAACATCTCCTGTCCTCATAATCAGTTCATAAATTGCTGCTCTAAACCACTCCATCCTCCCCTATCCCCACTACTATGGCCCTAGTTCAGCTCTTGCCATCTCTCTGGTCCCCTAGCTCTTGTTTTGTTCCCTCAAACATGTTGTTCACAGTTATGCAAGAGTGAGCTACCTAAAATTCATATCTAGCCACATTATTGCACCATTCACACTTCAGGTGAAACTCCTTCATAGGGTATAGGAAACACTCCCCCTCCCGCCAGCCCAGCCCTCAACCCAGTGACCTGGTCTGATTCCACCTCTGTCTCACCTCTACCTCACCCTGACTCACAGCATACCTTAGAACTATCAAAGTGCTGTGCTTTCCCAGATGGTCTGTGCTCTGGCTGGTCTCTATATCTTTGTTCACATGGTACTATCTGTCTAGAACACTCTTCTACTCACCCCACCCACTGGTTAACTGCTTCTTCTTTCTTTAAGATTCAGCTCAAGTGCCACTGTCCTTAGGAAGTTTTCCTTGACTGGGCTAGCTCCTCCCCGCCCCCACCCCCCGCAGTCCCATAATCCATTGTACAAAAAATTATAAATTTGTTGTCCCATAAGATCATGAGCTCCTTAAGAGCAAGGACTATGTCAGATTCATTTTATTTTTCTTATCTATTCTTCCCAAATTCTAAAAGCTCCAAGACTCAGTTTCTCTTCTTGCTATGCTTTCTCCTTAGGTGGCTTCATGGCTTTATGTACTATCCATACTCTGATGACTCCCAAACTCATTCTCCAGCCAAACAATTTCCCACACAGACATTCACACTTGTTCTGCTCTTATTCTTCTGATCCACACATGACTGGCTGCTTATTCAAGTCTCAGTTCAAATGTAACCTCCTCCTGACCACTCCATCCAAATGGCCTCCATACCCACTCTCTCCCTTTGTCTTATTACTATCTGAAATTAAAACAATTTATGTACTTGTTTATTGTTCATCTTTCCTACCATGCTACCCCATGAGACTGGGGAATTTTTACTCATCGCTTTATCTCCAGAGCCTAAGACAACTTTTGGCCATTGTAAACACTTGTTATTGTCGAACGAACTAATGCCTAACACAGGTCTGGCATGTAATACTCACCAACATCTGAGTGCTTACTAAGTGCCCAATATTGTGCTAATTGTACCACAGGAATTGCTTCATCTTAAGTATTACTATTAGCCCCATTTTACACTGAGACATAGGGGTTTAGTAGCTTGCCCAGGTCCCAAAGTAAGAAGGGATATGATCTAGAGGTCACCTTCCTAGCCACTGTGCTATCTGTCCACTAACAAGTATACTCAAAGGAAAGAAGGAAGGAAGGGAGGAGAGGGGGGGAAAGGGAAGATGGGAAGGAGGGAGAGTCCAAAATCCCTTTTGTTGAGAGCAGAAAGGGAGTCAAATGGAGAAGGAAATGGACATACTACCCCCAGGATGAGTGTTCTGTCTCTAACTCATGACACGGGTTCAGAGGCTCAGTCCCTACTTTTTGTTCTGACAGCTCAGAGAGGGCTGAATCACCTTTACCAGGCAAAGCTACTGCTCTCTCAGCAGGGAGAAATTTAAACTCACTGTGTAATTGCCATAGTATAGGGAAAGGACAAGGAGCAAGAAGTTCAGACACTTTGAGTCTACTGCTGGCTCAGCCAAGGGCTCTCTAGTAGACCCCTGGCCAACAGCTTTCTTTCTCTGGGTCTCAGCTTCTCTATTGGTAGGGGAAAAAACCCATGCTCCTAGTTCTGGTGTTCTGTGACTCTAGCAGGTGCCAATCTCCCCTAGTTCCCTCAGCTCACGACACTAGACACCACTGAAGAGAAGCCCCCTTTCTGACTGCTTGAGCCTGGGTCTGGCCCTTGTGCATGCACTGAACAGAATTTTGTAAAATACAAGAAGTGAAGGAACTACCCCTGAAAAGCAAAAAACTCGGGTGTAACTCCCCTCCTTCAAGAGTGACACATAGTAACAGCCAAGCAAATGGTCCTTCCCTGCAATATTTATTAAGGAATTTACACATACACAGGAGAAAGGCAACCAGGAATTGTGGTTCCCACACATGAAATCTTTTAAGCAAAGTTTTCTTGTTTGAATTTTCAAGTGGGGTGAACAATGACTGAGAGGAAAGCTGTCCAGGCTCTCTGCCTTGTTCACCTGGAAAAGGTGGGAAAACAGAGCACCCTGGATACACAGGCATGAAAGAGTGGTTGGCAAATTGGGAGGAGGAAAAGGTAGAAGGGAGCTATCAATGAGATGGCAATTTTTTTAAACTATAAGAAAAACTAGCAACAGTTTTAGACTGTTGATAAATTAACTCCTCTCTGTTGCAAACCTAAAACTAACAAAACAAAACAAAAATACCCAGAGCAAGTGGAGAGAGGGTGGGAAGTGGCATACACACACGCACACACACACACACACACACACACACAAACGTGAGCAGCACACACTTAAATTAAGCGCCACACTCCCACTGCGTGGGTTGCTCCTCCAGCCGTGGAGCCAGATCGCACTGAAGGCAGGCAGGAGGTGGGGAAGGGGTGTGTGTTTGTGTGTGGGAACTTCACAATGTCTTTGGTGCTAATAAAGGCTGACTGAAGCGGCGAGTCCTGAAGCCCCAGATCGAGAAAGCAACTCAGGGCAAAGGAGAGTGGTATTTTTGCTCATCCTCACAGGAGGGGGCTTGCCTCATCCCAGGGATGGGGTCGACCTGATCCAAGACCCAAGGAATATTTAATTTGATTTCAGTGCTTTCCTCATTCCTGTAAATCATGGGAACATGATACTTCCTTCTTCAACCAGAAACTTAAACACTTAGAAATAGCTTAGTAACACATATATAAGGACCTCTAAACCCTCTCCTCTGCCTAATATACAACTCCTACAGACCTTTCTGAGAGTCTGAAAGGAGGTTTAACCTTGAGGGAAAATACTCAAGGGCATGCACATTTCTCCCACAGTGTATGTGCCTTCTGCCAACAATTTCTAAGGTGCTGGTGCCAGGAGAGGACTAGGGGCTGGGGAGGAAGTGGGGATGGCAAGGGGACATGTACAACATAAAGCAACAGAGAGGTCTGTGTGTTTGGGAAGTGGTTGGGCTGGGCAGAATGCCAAACCTCAAATGACTTATTGAGCAATTTCTAAACCAAACAGAGAGAGGTAGGGAAAGGGGATGGGCGGGGGTCAGTTGGGGAAAGATGAGAGAGGGGAGAGCGAGGGCTGGGGAGAGTGGTGGCCATCCAGGTGTTTTGTTTTTATTTCCACATCTGAGGACTAAGAGTCTGATTTGTTGCCTGTCCGTTTCCGCCGCTCATTGACTGTCCATAGCTCATCATGCCGTTGGCTCCATAGAAGTTCATCCCAGCCATCTGCTGGGTCATCTGAAAGGGAGAGAGGAGACTTTCAGACCAGGCATTCAGCCAATTAGTGCAAAAGGCAGGGGGGCGTCCCCTGCCTACAGGGAGGGGGAGAATGAGACAAAAGGAAACTGAGATAGTACCAAACTGCTCTGGACCTTAATAGATTATTTCAAGGACATCAGACCATGTTACATGAAGGACTTTTCAGGAATGTGATGTTGACAGAGACTAAAGCTCAAGGATGGAAAGAAGGAATTGAGTCACTAGAAAAGCAGCATGAAAGGCTCTTTTTCCTTTCCGGACCCTCATGCTAAATAGAAGGGACCTATTGTTAACTTGCCCGGCCAACCCTGGGAGTTGAAAGAAAAGCCCGCACTCCCGTGCTCCTGTCTCATCTCCAGCAGAGAGCTAGCACTGTCAGTGTCCATTGAGAGCGCTTGTGCATGCTCATTTCCAGAGGAAAAAAGAAAAAGGAAGAAACTAGACTGTTCAGAATAAAGAAAGGAAGAGGAAATAAAAAAAGACCAACAGAATCTTCAATGTATGGGAAGGAAGGAGCTGGGAGAAAAGAATCAGTGGCATAAAGCTGGGTCTGTGTGTGGAGCGGAGATGGGTGAGGACTCTTTACGAGTTAGATTGAAAGGCTGGCCCCAGCAGTGAACAGAAGAAATAATTTATGAAAGAAAAACACCTTAAATTTCCTGAGCCTAGTACATTTTCTGTACAAGTTCTTTTTCTTTAAGACTATTTTCTTCTAATGACTTTTTAAGAAAATTTCAAACTTACAGAAAAATTGAAAGAATAATACAATGAAATCCATATATCTCTTCCTTAAATTCACCAATTGTTAACATTTTGCTATATTTTCTCTCTCTTTTTACATACAAACTTCAAAACATTTTTTGATGAGCATCGAAAGTTGCAGATATCATGACACTTCACCCCTTAATAAGTCAGGAGGCATCTCATAAGAATGCTTTTCTAGAACCACAATACAATTAACACACTCAAGAAATTCAACATTAATACGATATTCTAATACATGCTGCATTTCATTTTCGTATCTCTTTAGTCTCCTTTAATGTAGAACAGTTCCCCCCGTCCCACCTCTTTCCTTTTTTTCCTGACACTGACATTTTAAAGAACCCAAGCCAGTTACTTTGCAGAATATCCCTCAGTTTGGAATTATCTCATGTTTTCTCATGATTGGATTCGGGTTACATATTTTTGGCAAAAATTCAATGTAGGTGGTATTGTGTCCTTCTCAGTACAATATATTAGGAAGCATATGATATTAATCTGTCCCACTGTTGGTAATTTTATGTTTTATCACTTGGCTAAGGTAGTATTAGCCATAAAATTTTTTTCATTGTAACGAATGAGTAAACCAAAGGGGTAATTCTTTGAGAATGTGTGAAAACCCTGTTCGATCTCAATCATTAGCTGTCATTCTTCTGTAAAGGCTCTCCCTCCCTCCATTCCACACTCAATTTTTTTTTTTTTTAAATATCATTATGGATTCAGATTTTTTTCATCCAATGTGTTATAATCCATTACTGTTATTCTTTTTTATGTCTCACATTTGACCATTGGGAGCCTCTATAGAAGCTGGCTTATGTGTGCTTTAGACATGTTTCTATCTGTTTTATAGCACTTGATTACTTATGTAAATAAAAATGAAAGAATGATGTGAATTAAAATCCCAACTATAAAAGCTAGAAAAAGATTAACAAAGTAAACCAAAAGAAAGCATATGGAAGGAAATAGTAGAGATAAACCAGAAATTGATGTAGAAAACAGAAAAATGTAGAACCAATCAATAAATCAAAATCCTGGTTCTTTGAAAAAATTAACAAGACTGTTTGGCATAACTTTTGATAAATAAGTTTGAAAACCTTTATGAAATAGATAAACGAGGTAAATACTGTTTTCCAAAACTGACTTCCATTGAAGAAACAGAAAATTATTAAAAATTACTACAAAAGAAAGCCAAACATCCCACAAAATTTCACATGGAAATTCTACCAAACAAGCGAAGACCAATATTACATACACACACACACACACACACACACACACACACACACACACACACACACAACATATATATATACCCCCCCCCCCCCCCCCCGTGTGTGTGTGTGTGTGTGTGTGTGTGTGTGCTGGCTGGTATGGGGATCCAAACCCTTGACTTCGGTGTCACGACGCCACACTCTAACCAACTGAGCTAACTGCAGCCTACATAAATTATTCCAGACCAGAGAGAAATGAAAACATAGTAATATTTTCTAAAAAGTATAGTAAACACGATAAAGACAGCATGTGCATGCATGTGTGCAGTGCACATGTACCACTTCTCTGGTATTCCTTTGCCTGTCCCTTCCTTTTCCCTTTAAATCTCTTTGTTTCAGTATTTCTTTGTACCTAGTGTAAAATTAGGCATTGCTTTGTGAGCCATTTTGAACATCTTTTCCTTTTAATAGAAGAGTTGCCCTATTGATGACTGATATGTTTGGTCTCAATTCCATCATATTTCAGTGTATTTTTACTGTGTTTATTATATTTACTATACTTCAGAGTCTATGTATTTTATTATCTTCATTTTGAAAAATTATTTTGGTATTTAGAAAGAATTTGTTCTAGTTATTACCTTTATACTAATACTTTTTATAATGCCCTTGGTTTCCTTTTTCCTTACTCAAGCTGCCACGATTTGGTCTGTCAGCTTAATTTTTATTCCCTGACTTCTATCTATTTACTAAGTAACAATCAATTAACTTATTCTACTTTCCCCCTTTTTCCTTCCTTCTCTACATATTATTTTTAGTTGTATTTCTGTTTGTCAGAGTACAACAAATATATTTCCACCCTTGTCACCACTTTTAGTGTTAGATTCTCAATTAAACATTCAATGCTCACCATCAGTCCTTCTGCCAAAAATGTTCCTAGTCGTCTCTTAGAGGGATAAAGCTTATCTTCTGTTAGATTCCTCAGCAAAGGCTTGAAAGTATGCTATTCCTTGAGTTCTTGCGTACTTAAGTTTTGTTTTTTGGGTTTTTTTTAATAGCCTTGATACCTGAATGGTAGCTTGACTGGCTATAAAATACTTGTCTTGCATGTGCGCGAGTGTCTTGAAAATTTTATTTCTACTGTTGTCTTTTTATATGTAGCTGTTAGGAAGTCTGATGTCAGCCTGGGTATTCTTTTTTTTTGTAAGTGACACATTTTTGTAGAGGTACAGAGAAGGCTGGAGCCCTAAGAATTTTTCTTGTTCTTTAAAGTCTAAAGGTTTACTGGGATATGTTCTAGAGTTGACTGTTCTGGATCAACGTTCCCAGATACACAGTGGGCTCTTTCAATATTATATCCAAGTCTTTTATTTCTAGAAAGTTTTCGTGTATTATAGTTTTAAGTATATTAATTCTGTCCCACTATCTTGTTTTTCTTCTTTAGGCTTTCTTTTCCTAACTCCTGTATTACTTTCTCCCCGTTTTTTTTATTTTTTTTTTATTTTTCTATATTTAGTTTTCATTCTCTTAGCTATTTCATGCCTTTCCTGAATGGCAAATATAAAGAGAGAGTTGAATCTCTTCTCCTCTTGCTAACTTGTATTCCAGTCTTTATTCCTAAGAAAATTTAGTCTTTTTCTTCAATTTCTTTCCTGAGCTCAGTAAACTTTCATTTCACAACTTCCAGTTTTTTGTCCATTTTGGTTCTAAGTTTTTAAATTTCTGATTCAAGCTTTCTTGTCTTACCTGAAAATGTTTGTTTAAGGACATTTAATTCAGGTTGGTGGATTGTATAACAGTTTTCTTCTGCTGTTTGTGGGGGGAGAATTTTCATTACCTAAAATGTTTTGATTTTCATTTTCTATTTTCTTCTCATAGTAGTTTTGTATGAACGTCATCTGTCACATGCTGTTTATTCTGTAGTGCCTTATTTTTCTAATCAGCAAAATACAGAAAGCTGTTAGGGTTTGGGGATGCTTACTGGATTCCTTAGCTCAAGAGCACTCTCTTCTGTTAGTGAAGCGATTATTTGGGGAGAAGGAGCATGGTGTATCTTTGGATTTTGCAATTCTCTCTTCCACTTCCCATTTCTTTCTTTCCCTTCACCACCAGGTCTCAGAAGAGTACCTCCTCCTCCTAAGTCATGCCCATCTCCCCCAGATGCAATGCTTTTCCAAGGCTACCACCTATAATCCCATAGATTTCAAGACCCCAGTAACCCGAGTTCTAATCTACCAGGTCCCGGACCTGTTCTCAGTGTCTCCAATCACTGCATGTCTTTCACCTTCTGAGGGGTGATTTTATCTGTGCTCTTCACCTCTAGGCCCATGCTCCCTCTCCTCTTTCCACATAGTCTCCTCTGTGATGCTGGATCTGCTGGACTTGGGTGTTCATATGTCAGCTGCCATGTCATTCGATGCTTGTAGTATTGTCTACTACTAGTTGTGGGTTATGGAGGGTTTTATTTGCATTCTCTGTCTGTATAGGTGTTTTTGTTTTTGAGAATGTGTGAGAGATTGAGATTTAGGCAGTTACCCTTATTCTGCAGAAACCCAGAACGTCTCAGAAAGTCTGACTTTAGACAGATCTTCTAGAAAAAAAAAAAAAGCAAACCTGAGAATGTCTTTGGCATTATCTCATCTATGTGGAAAGGATTCAAAGGATCAGGAAGAGGTGCAAAGTGAGACAGACTTGAGGAAGGCTCAAAACTCTTGTCCCAGGAAAGATGTGGCAGCTCACCTGAGTAAGGTTCCACTGTAGCTGCTGAGCTGGCTGAACCCCATACATAGTCTGGGGCATAGCTGCCATGCCTGCCATGTAGCCAGCCTGCTGGGTGGGCATCATTCCATTCGGCACACCCATCATAGATGCCTGCATGCCCCCCATATAGCCTGCAGGCATGGCCATGGGGGCAACCATCCCAGAAGCTCCTGGCTGTGCTACGATGCCTACTGGAGGGGGCATCATGCTCCCCATTATGCTGTTAGGAGGTGTGACCCCAGGGAAGCTGGGGTAGGCTGTGGGATATGCCATTTGAGCAGGAGCCATGAACATTGCTGCCAAGAAAACACACATACAAGTTAAAGAGGAAAGGACAAAAAGTTAGCCCAAACTCCCACTGGCTACTTCTTCCCAGCTAGAATTTCTCAGACTACTCAGCTAAGAATGCTCTTTTACACAGCAAAGCAGTTAGACAGTGTCTACAAGATTTGCTGTGGCTTACCAGTGGGCAGCTGACCTAGCCACTTCCCTTTTAAGGTTCAGATCCAGGCCTTGAGTCAGACTTCACAGAGGTGTGACCTCAAACCCCACAGAAGTAAGGCTCTGAGTTATATTAATATCTATCTACTGATACTGTAGCTTCACAAGAAATATCATATTCAGATTTATTCGGTATATGATGGCCTAGCCCCTAAAAAAACTGTTCCCTGTCACAACAAATAATTCCTGCATGTAAGTCCTCATGTCTTCACCTGGTACATTATCATGACTTCCATGAAATATACCTTGGGCAGGCATTTGAGGCGTCTGGGATCCATACAGTGAAAGGATGGAATCTTTAGAGAGCTGTTTCTTGCCTATTTCTTCCGATTTGCTCCCTGGCTCTGGAAACAGGTTCAGGTTTTCAGGAACAGATCCGGCACTCCCTGCAGTTGGCATGGAACCTACAACCTTTGGGAAAAGAGGGCAGGGGGAGAACCAGAATAGTTTTTATGGGGGTTTCTTTAAGGACCTCTCTGTTTCTTCTAACATTTGCAATAAGAATTCATGGCTCAAGTTAATTGCTTCCTGACATTTTACTATACAAATATCTGAAAACTCTTAATAGTTAAGCTCTGGTACAATTCTTCATTCTTCAGCAAAACAATCTGATTAGTAGGAAAAAGCAAACACAGTAAACAACCCACAAATGATAGAGCAGAGAGAAGTGAGTTTAGATCCCCATGTATCCATGTATTAGTTGTATAACCAGAGGCAAGTCACAAACTTTTCTGAACTGTTTCCTCATCTGGAAAATATCCATTTTGCAGGGTTGTGGTGAAGATTTGAAATTAATAATGAAATATATAAAATGATATATAAAAAACACCTAGCACTGTTCCTGGTACATAGCAGGCATTCCACACATGGAAGCCATTAAAAGTTTCAAGTCTTTCATACCCACAACGCCCTGGCAGTAACCCAGGCCAAGGAGCTCACCTAAAGTATCAGGCTTTACAACATGACACACCTTCAACAGAAGCCCATAGAAAGGGCCCACACTTTGGGGGCAGGAGACAAAACGGTATGAACAGTGACACAGTGTTAAGGAAAGAATAAAGAACCAAGAAAACCAAAGTCCAATTCCACCAAGGAAGCATGACTTGGTTTCCATGATTAAGTTATTAAAATCACCCTTTCCAGAATGCTCTTTAATCCTGAGGAGCCCATAAGACTCACCTTTCTGGAAACTGAAGAAGAAGGGGATGGAACAGAGGCCAAAAGATCTAAATCCTTCTCTAGAGTGTTGCTGGTCTTACTATTTGCAATGGAGGTGGCCACAGGAGCATCTAGAAGGAGAGATCAAAGTTAAATGTAGCACTGCGCATTAAGCCCATTAAGTTCCCTATATTCTGGACAAAAAGCAGACAGAGAAGGCCCATGGGTTCTACCCTGGGCCTGGAAATCTGGACTTCTGGAATCATTTAGCTTGGGTGGGGCTTCTCAAAAGAGGCCTCACCCCACATTCCCAAGCGTGCACTGGTGAAGCCTATAGCTCGGCTATCAGGCACAGGGCAGCAGAAACCCAGGACTGAAGGCTACATCAGCACACAGCTGGGGTGGCTGGCTGGCTGCCTTCTGGCTATTTGAAGGGCAAGTACAGGATTCATTTTCAGAGAAAAATGAAAGGTACAGAAATTAGAAGCCTAAGTAGCCAATAACATAAACCAGCAGAAGTGGATGGAAACTAAGTATGACCATTTTTGCTGTGAAAGGCAGAAACAGGCTTTCTTTCTGAAAGAGGCAGAATCACTAGTTCAGTATTTCAAAGGCTTGGAGAAAAATGACCACAAGGTAACAGGCTATCTCAGAAATAGATCACAACCTGAAAAAGCAAAGGGATGGGGGCAGGGAGGGAAGTGGCACAAGGTTCAAAGGTGCTGTTTGGTGAAATTGCTAACATTTATTGAGTGCTTAGTATGTGCCAGGCACAGGCTAAGAGCTTTGGAGGCATTATCTCATTTAATCCTTCCAAAAATGCCTTTGAAGTACAGACTGTTTTTATTCTCACTGCATAGAGTAGGAAAGTAATGTTCAGAGGTTAAGTAAACTACCCAAGGTTGCAGACAGCAAGTGGCACAGCTGAGACTCTGGCTCCAAAGGCCATGCTCTCAACCACTGCACTGTACTGTCTCTAAAAAATGTCACAGCAGACAATTCCTTAGAGCAACTGTTCATATGTAAAACATAACAGGAAGAACATGAGAGAACAATGTCAGTGAAGAAGACACAAATTAGAGAATACCATCTCTGCCTATCTTCCCAGGGTCACTGAGAAATCATCAAAAATTTAAGAATATGAGAGTTGAAAAGTCTAACTCTTACCAAGTCCCAACAAATCCATGACAGGTGCTGTGGATTTCGGGGAGCTTTTCCGAGGTAGCTGTGGATCTTCTTTCTTCTGTGGCTAAGGTGAAAATATGTTATAAAAGGAAATAAGCAGGTGTTTTTGAACTCTTTTTTCCCCTCTCAATTTTAAAGCCATAGATATTCTTGTGGTTGCTGTTATTCAAACAGTTACCAAAAAAACAAACCTCAGGAAGTATCAAGTGATAAAATCAAGTCAGGAGGCATGAGTGCATAAACCAAACCTAAAGTGAAAAATAAACTATCTGTGCTTGTTTGGCTTTCTGAAGGGACAGATCTTTCTGAAACCAAGACAACCACAGACCAGGGTACTCAACAGAAGCAGCAGTTTTTGGTCCCTGGAAAAGCCAAGAATAAAGGTAGGTATCTGATAGTACAAAAGTCAAGAGCCAACAAATCTCCCAGTGGTTAGAAAAACTTTTACTTTAGCACCAAAAGGGAGATCAGTTTAAAGATTACCTAATTCTCTCTGCCAATATCACTAGTGACTGTATCCACACACAGTGCGAGTCACAGTGATGAGAAAAGACTCTTCCTTAAGCAATAGTAAGTCCTCTCTCCCAAGATTCCAAGCCTTTATATGAGCGTATTTACTACAGCCACAGCACGTCCTGTGGAAAAAGAAAGGTATCTGCTTCAATAGCAAGAATACAAGAAAGGATCATTTAAAATGGATTAGTATGACCTCACTCCTGGACTGGTCTTAACTGCAACAGGAAAATGAGGTACAGAAGGTCTAACAAGAAAAGGACCAATGTGGAGGTAGTGTCTGCTCAGAAGGTGTCACATAGCCTTGGTATTCTGACTTGGAACATGCCTCTTGCTTAGATGGGACAGATACAGTTTCCGAGCTCCCAGCTGGCCCCAAAGAGAAGTGTTACAGAGCAGATTAGGCAGCAACAGGTAATGGGAAAGAAGCAGAAATGGCAGCAGGTGATCTAATCTAAATGCGAAACCCTTTAGCTCCAAGTGCAAAGGTAGTGTGGTATCAGCTCCACCTCACCCACCACGAGCCTCCCACCCCTCCCCTCCATCCATATAAACATACCTAAGGCACAGGGCAAATACTTTCCCACTTACCATTTTCACTTTCTCAAAAACAACAGGTTCCATTTTTTTCTCTGGAGCTGGTTCACCCCCCCTTTTCCACTTGTCATCTTTTTCTTTCTATAAAGATTTAACAAAACAAGACAAAGAACATACGCCACATGGTGACTAATAGTTTGATTAATTATAATTCAAAATGTCCAAAAAGGACTCCAAAAATCCCTAACGGTTCTGATGCAGGAGTCTTACAAACGTGGGGGTGTGTTCTGCTGTGCAGCACGAGAGCTGACCTTTTCCACATTAGCCTCGATGCTTTGCCGGGCATCCTCCAAATGCCTGAAGCACCTGCCCTCCTAGACTAGCTCACTCATGACTTGAAATTCGCAGGCTAGGCTATCTACAGACGCTAAAAATTTTCACCAGTTTGCTGCCCATTTTTGCCCCAAATTTAACATGCTCATGCTTTGAGGGGTTCCCCCTTATCTTGGTATACTGGTGAGTAAGTTCATCTTCATCTTACTTAGCTTATGTCCTTTGAGCGCCGCCGCGCTTCCCAAGCGGCGCACTTATCCAGTGCGCCACCGGGCCAGCCCCTTCACCTCCTTTTTTAAAAAATTGGAAAATAAACCTTAATTTCAAGCTCAGAGACTAAAAAAAAAGTTAAGGATATAAGGCAAAGGGCCGGCCCGGTGGCGCACTGGATAGTGCGCCGCTTGGGAAGCGCGGCGGCGCTCCCGCCCGAGGGTTCGGATCCCACATACAGACCAGTTCCTGCTCACTGGCTGAGCGAGGCGCGGGGGCAACACCGAGGGTTGCGATCCCGTTGCCGGTCCCCGGTCCGGTATGGGGGCAACACTGAGGGTTGCGATCCGTTGCCGGACACGGAAAAAGACAAAAAGACAAAAAAAAAATAAAAATAAAAAAAGGATATAAGGCAAAAAAGAATTAGGGGATTCTAAAGAAAAAAGAACTAAAATATCCTTTTTAGAGAGTCCTGCATGAGTTGCCTGTGTAGAACCAACAAGGATATAAATATATATATATATATATGTATTCGAAAATCTCTCTGTTCTTGTTAGTTTCAGAGACAGTTTCATAATACATTTATAGATTATAAAGTTATTGGTCACATTTTAAGGTCAAATAAACATCTATATGCAAAACAGAACCACAAAGTAACCTTAAGAATAGAGGCACGTAAAAGGAAGTATAGTGTACATATAAAAAAATGTTCAGTCTCACTAGAGATAAAAAAATAGAATTTAAGGGCCAGCCCGGTGGCGCACTGGAGAGTGCGCCGCTTGGGAGCGTGGCGGCGCTCCCAACGAGGGTTCGGATCCCATGTGGAGACCGGTTCCCGCTCACTGGCTGAGTGTGGTGCGGGCACAACACCAAGGGTTGCGATCCCATTACCGGTCAGTATAAAAGATAAAAAGAAAAAAAAAATAGAATTTAAAATGCATTTTAAGGGGAAGAAAGATCTTAATAATACCTACTGTTGTATTAGGAACGAAGTGAAACTAGTACTCTTATATGATGCTGGGAAGACAGAGTAAATGGTACAACTTCTGTAAAGTGTATTGGCAAAAATACGAAGAAACAAATATTGAGATCCCTGGACCTAGATAATATCACATCTTATAATGTAAGCAATTCACCCCAGAATTGTCTGTGCTAAAGAAAAACTTAAATAACAACCTTTATGCCACAGAAAGGAAATGTAAAATAAACTGTGATTTAGCTACTCAGTAAAAGATGATGCAACAATTAAAAATTGCAAAACCACATAAGTAACTTAGAAATACATAATATGTTAAATAGAATGAAAGCAGGAGACATTCTACATATTATAATTATGCCCCCCAAAAGTAACTGTATAGAAAAAAGATAGAATACACCACAATGATAATCATTAATAGACAGTGAGAGTATGCATGAATTTTTCACTTTAATTTTAATATTTTCTATAAAATGATTTTATAATCACAACACATGCAGCTGTCTTTTTTATACACAGTATAGCACTTTAATACAGGACACTTTATATCTTGAAGTTAAAAATGCTTTCAAAAAAAAAAAAGCTCTATCTGTCCATTAAAAAAGAATACTTTAACAAAGCCAGTTCCTTTTCATTTGGTATGAAATGTCTTTACTTAGCAAATATTAATTTTTAACATAAAAAACTTTATAAGAATATAAAAAAAAATCTAAGTATATCAGGTTAAAATTTTTGAAATAGCTTTTGGTAAGCATGAGAAATTTCCTTCCTAAGTGAAAACATACTGGGAGTAAAAGAGTCTTGTTTCCATAGATACGGTGCCAGCAACATAATTATGAACACCTGACAACTCTATCCTCATACAGCAACTCCCCTCCTCCTCCACCTTCTGGATTACCTCAAATACCCTTTTTTGACTTCATCGGATCTCCTATCTTCAGACAGAATGAACAGAGCTAGGCAGACAGACCACAGTTTTCTATGAATATAAGGAAATGCATGTACTTTGTTCCTGAAGTACATTGATGATACCAGCTCAGCTATGGTTGTACACCAGGTTAATTCTTTCTTGGAACAATTATGATAACTGACAAGTCCCTTTTCTGGATGACTGCAAGGTAAGAGTCCTTCATACTTAGTTGAGAAGGGATTATTTTTACCTAACTACATGTATAACCTTGCACTTACTTGCCTATGTTGAAATTCACCTACTAGTTAATGCCCCTTTCACACAGCTTCAAAAGATCAATCTGGCCAGCCACCAAAAAAAAAAAAGATCAATCTGCATTCCAATCAGCTTAACTTTTAATTACCTGGAGGGACTTAGGGCCCCATGAAAACCTAGTGATTTCACTGTTTCATTTCACCCATTAAAATAAATAACTAAAATAGATGATAGACAGGCAGACAGATAGCACCTGTGCTAGAACTGGAGAATCCCATACTCTCTATACTTCTGTGGGTAGAGAAATAGTCAATTGTTCCTAAGGGAATTTATTCTAGAATATTGTCAAAGGATTTTATAGGTCTAAATAGTCATAGATACTGGTCTCATTTAGTTGTCATTATTCAGGCATATTTTCTTCTTCCAGAAACCATATTGTATTTCCTCCTGTATGTTATACTTGTCCTAGTTATCTTACACTGAATTTCAGATTCTAACCATGCCTAGGATGAAATGTGTCCTTGCAGCTGGTAGTCTCCCTCTGAAACTCATCTCAGGAACAGGGTCCCGTTGGCAATCAGTCTGCCAACACACTGGTTATTAGCACATAATGCTATAATATGCATTGGTCAAAATGGAGGAAATTCTGGTGATTTTATTACACTTACTTTTGTTGACTTCATTTACAGAAAAAAAGTTATGTATATGTACATATGTACATATATATATATACATGTATTATTCTACTTGATCTAGTATGCCCAATATGTCCATTTTAAGAAACAATTTGGAACTTGGAATCACTAACATCATCTAAATACAGATCAAGACAAAGAATTCACTGATAGTTTGCCCTTCCCATCCCTGAGGTGAAAGTTTGTTCCATGATATCTCATGGTATTGACTCAATAACTGGCTTCTTTCTGCTTCTGCATTTTTTAAATGATGGTTCTGGAGTATTTTTGTAGCAGGTCTTCAGATTCTTCCCTGGCTTGATTAATAAGCAAATTACTTATTATGAACAAAACCTGAAAGATTTACAACCAACCCTAAAGGCATTGATGTCCAGACTTCGGTCCATGTATTTCTTCTTCTCATATTTATCTCGAATAAATCCCTCGACAGCTCTGCAAAAAGCTTATTAAGGATAAATCAAACAAGTTTCTCCAACAGCAAGAATGTAAAAGGTCAATCTGGATTCCACAGAACACTGTCCTCTTCCTTCCCTCTGGCCTGGTTTCTCCACATGGCTCCTATCTCTTCATATGCAGTTTCCCTTATCAAAACCTTAAAATGCCTCCTTCACGGTTACTGCAGGGAATCATTATTTTCTATGATTTCCCTTCAGAGTGATGACAGCAGCAAGTGGGATTAATCTTCATCCTGACATCAGAGATGTCTGTGGCTGTTCTAGAATATAGATAAAATAGTCATGTATCTATGTTAAAGCTTTAGGTCAATCAGCTTCGAACAAGGCATGAGTGCCCCTTAAAAATATAAATTCTGTGTCCCACTGCCAGATTCTGATCAATGGGTCTTCTGCAAGGCCCGAATTTAACAGGGCATTTAACATGTTCCACCTACACCCACTAAAAAGCAACTCTAACAAGATGGTCTACAGACCACATTTTGAGAAGCACTGCCTTTAGGGCGTTTGGTTTTACATCTTAGTTCCTATCCCCTGTTGAAGGGATGGAGGAAGATAAAATGGTCAACAACAGTTAATTCTTTCACACGGGACATAGAAAGGCGATAAAAATGAATGGTGGTTTTGCTGATGGTGGTTTTGCTGACGGCAAGGGCTGGACAGAGCACAGTAAACTATTCTTTTTATCAAACAATAGTTTCAGACATCCAAAAGCTAGTGGAGATGTCACTTTATGGAAGAATTCACAGTGAAATCACTGCAGTCTTAATTCCTGAGTTAGTCTTCCCCACGTGACACTACATGACAATTCTGACCTTAGCAAGTAAACGTGCTTTTTGTATGTCTTGGTTGCAGGAGAGAGGAAAAGCAAGGACTTTGACTAATCCATATAGAGACGGACCAGACGGATCACAGGGCTTGAGTCTTATTTGACTCTCCCCAAACACCAAAATATCACTCAGCCTTCTAAAATAAAACACAAGTTGCTCCAGAAAAGATACGGGTCTATCTGAGGTCGCCGAAAGGTCTCAGGAAGGTAGGCTTCATAGAGTCGATTTGCCTTTCCGTTCCCCATCTCCTGCATGCACTGCGATCAGAGAGAATGTAGAAACATGAAATGTCAGATCAGGAGAGGCTTGAAAAACTTCTCACCCAATTCCACCATTGTTCAATTGAAGAACCAACCTAGAGAGTGGCAGAACCAAGATTTAAACTTGTGTATTCTGATTTTCAATCCATGATTCTCTCTACTAGGAATTTCCAATCATTTACCCCCATGGCTGTCTCCTCCTTTCTCCCAGGGGTTTCTTTTACTGAAAGATTCGTCTGCCAAGATACATTTAATTCAGCAATAGTTGAAGATATCATTTGAAAGTCCAATATACCTAGCTACCAATCAAAATGTCTACCTGGCAGGCAATAATCAGCATTAAGATTCTGAGTTTATACTATTAATTAACCTATTCAGCTTTATTACCAATAAATGAATGTATCCCATTAGGCTTTTGAAATAGACCCCTTTACACATGTAAGGGATAAATCCCAAGAGCTTTTTAAATCTCCAAATTCCCAAATAACTCCATGGCATATAATTTCCTTCATAAGATAAAATAAAATGTAAGTGAAAAATGTAACTCATCTTTTTTTAATTTTTATTTTTTTTGTCCTTTTTGTGACCGGCTGCACCGCGCTCAGCCAGTGAGCGCATCGCACCGGCCATCCCTATATAGGATCCGAACCCGCGGCTGGAGCACAGCCGCACTCTCCCGAGTGCGCCACGGGTTCGGCCCTGTAACTCATCTTTTTAAACCTTTAATGAATGCATAAAAACAGTCTAAAGTAATTTCTAAAGCAATTTTATGGTTAGGAATAAACTCTTATTTCCATCACCAACTTTAGCAACTGGTTTTCTTTGGGGACTCCCTTTTCCCCAAAAAAAAGAGAACAAAAATTTTTAACATGAAAGTGTTTCAGTGTAGGGAGAGAATAAAGGACAATAAAGCTATATCAGGGTGCAGATCTTAGGCCACCCAGATCATTAACTTAATTGTCTCACTCCCAGCCCACCAAGCTAACATCAAGCAAGATTCATATATGCATTTTAGCAATAAAATATTACTGTAAGTCTATGATTTGGAAGTTTTTTAAAAAGTGAATATTTAAGGGGCCGGCCCGGTGGCGCACTGGATAGTGCGCCGCTTGGGAAGCGCGGCGG